ATGTGATCAAATGTAATCATAAGAATTGAAAATTAACAGTGTATTAAATCAACTTACAGCAATTATTATGACAAGTGTTACGTTCATCGTAGATGACTTATGATATAAGATATTATGATGGCTATAGTATATCCATTGTATATCTAAATATATGTCATTACATTAATATATTTTTAATTGTATACTTCTCAACAACATCAAATTATCATTTAAAACGCTAAAAGGATCAAATTCGAAGTCATGTATCTTTGCAAAAAATGGTCGCAAAATGATGTTTAAACAAATATTTTGAAGCGTGTTTTAAATGATGCTTTAATTCTGTTAAAAATGCATATGTATGTATATACATAATATGTACATATATGTAACATAAATCTTTTTTTTTTTGTTGTGTTTAGGTGAAAAATGTGACATTAAACTGGAGGTATATGTAGATAAAAAAACTGCATGTAAATTGAATTCCGGTGAAGATAAGTTATATGATATTTTAGTTTTACATCTCGAGGGAGGCAAAGATATTTTCATTACTATAACAGGTATATTATATTACAAAATGTACACAAGATATAATAGAATTATAATTATTTTTCACGATTGATACAAGCCTTGCTAGTTTAACACGACGATTATATGAGTTAATTGCTTTTCAGGTACTTATGAAAGAAGCTGTTTTGGCTCTTCTATGGAAGCATTAGTTCATATTTCAGTTCCAATTAGAGAAATTCCTATTGGACGATTAATTGATTTGGTAAAAATCTAAAATTTCATATGTAATGCTATTATTTAAATTGAAAATATTGCTTTGTGACTTAATTTATACATCTTAATTTTTTTCTTTGAAATTATAGGAGAATAATAAAAATCTTTCACAAGAACCATATCCGGTACCAAAAGAAGTGTGGCATTTAGTAGACAGATTATATCGACATGGCCTTAAAACTCCAGGGCTTTTTGAAACACCAGGTCTTCATAGTGAGATAGTAGCTATTCGAGATTGGTTAGATGAATTAAGTCAAGATCCAATGCGTATCCTTTTGCTATTTTAATATTTTATATATATATATATATATATATATATATATGCACG